TATGGAGTTTGTGATGATGTGATTAAATAAATGTTGATGGTAAATCAATGGAAACAAACGTTGGGCAGCAGAGAAATCTCAGGGTTCATGGAGCAACTTATTCAGGAATCAGTGACATAGATATAGTTAAGTAGCAAACCAGTCGTAAATTAACCATAGTATTCTCATATCAATGATTAAACATGTCTAACAACCTAATTCATTCAGGTTATGAAGGTGAAAAGGTAAGCATGCTGCAGAAGTTGATATAAAGTTCATCCAATGTATATCTAGCAAAGGAGAATTCCTAACTCGAATTCACTTAACAATATTAGTCAACCAACTCTCGCAATGAAGACTAATATTTCAATCAACTTAATACTCGACTCTCGCAAAACAATCAGGTAGATAGATATGCATAAAAGGGATTAAAATTCGATATGTTAACCTCATCATTAACACGACTCTCGCAATGATAAAGTTCAAGCTCTTCTATACTAGTTCCAATCAATCAGTTATGACTTCCTAACACGACTCTCGCAATGATAAGGTAAAAATTGATCTAGATTCAATCACAAGTTGGTTAAACTAGCAATATGCATGAGATAAAAATATAGATGAAGACTCCACTAAATTCTTAAGCATGAAATATTCCTATTTATCGATCCATGAATAATTTTCCTTGAAAACTCTTTAAACCCAATAATCAAACTATTCAATCATAGAATCGAAGATCATAACAAGAGTAGAATGAAAAGATATTATTGAAGGATTTCTCCCTTGAAGATCAATACGTAAAATCCCTAAAACTAAAGAGTTCGATCCAAAGACTCTGCCTCAAAGAAAACGTATAACTATGGTGGTGGCTGTGAAGGTGGTGCTAAAATTTTCGTGGCCTTTATTTGTTTAAATAGGTGAGGAAATCGGTTAGGTATATCCTCAAGAGATTTAGGGATATTGTTTGAAGATTTGGAAATTTGCCTATGTTCCGTATATTGAGCGTATCTTCAGATCGCACCGTCGGATTTCCGCGATCGAATATGCTATGTGAAACTGAGATCCTTTTTTATCTCCTGGCAAACTTTTATCTCAATCCAACGGTGGAGAACATCTTCATCTGAGGCGAAACATCTGACGGACAGAATCTGTCTTTTCTTTAAAAATGCTTGTTTCTCTTTCTTTTAGGTCCAAAATGCTCCAATTACCTACAAAGACTTTAAGACCCATGAAAATACTAGAAATAGCAATTAAATACTAAAACCAAGTTATTTATTAATTAAAAATCCATTTAAAACATAGTAAACATCGGTAAAATATGAAGTATATCAGTTCACAATTTTGTTTTGGCGCTTTTAGGCTCAGTATCACAAAGAGGAGGTCGATAAAGAGATTTATAAGGGATCATGCCTTGTTGTTAGTATGTTTATCTCTCTTGTTAATGATAAACACAACTGTTAAATGTTTTGAGCAAGTGCAGAAAATGTAACATAGAATGAGGAGAAACATAAGCATAGTGGAACAAAACCTATGTTGTCTCATTTTTATCAAGGAAAGGGAGATTCAGGTTTACATGATGTTGCAAGAAAATATAAAATAAAGAAGCGTAATATCCACTACAAGAAAACAGCCACTATTCCGACGGAAATTCCGACGGCCAATATTTCCATCGGACTTTTCCGACGGCTTACCGACGGATTTCCGACCAACATTTAGTCCGTCGGTATTCCGTCG